CTTTCTGAGAATGACTGCAGTTTCAAAGACACTTCAAACTAACTCGTGTTGAGAACTTGCAAAGTGAGTTCGTGTTCTTTTCTAGCTCTGAAGTGAATGAATATGATCCAATTGATCTTCAACACTGCTCAAATACGAATTGTAGTTCTTCCAGACTCAGAACATCAAAGCTGCTGAAAATCTCAAAAACTTAAAATGTATTATAGTCTTTGGGAATGGTCTTTCATGTTGTTCGACTTTACTTTTTCAGTCATGTTCTACATGCGTACGATAATTTTATTGGCGACGTATTTTGAATAATCATAGCGAATAGCTGAGAACAAACACTGTAATGAGCGAGACACTTTAGAGAGTCGTGTGAGATGAATGAATTCGTCGTAGGCGATGTTACCATAGAAACATCGAATCAAACATATCATAAACGCGGTGAGCAATAGTCATTAGGTGAACGATATATGCAGCGCCTTCTGTATACCTCAGCTCTCGCGTAAACTCATTCGATTTGGAAATCCACAAATTTTGATCGTAATATTGAATATTTCTACTAACAAAACTTTCACATTAAAATCATCATACGAACACGTCAATCGATGAATGAAATCAGCAAAGTAATCGTATTGATTGCGAGTGCGAGACTTTTATCAACAACTGATTCTTAATTTAGCACTTCGAAATTTTTTTGAAAAATCAATTAGATTTCCCGAAAAACTCTAGCTTTTGTCAATGATGAATGATAAGTGCATTAGTTTGATGGCCCGTGTGGCACTTAAAAGAGCTGAAAGCAATGATTTTTGTTTTATCAGGATATAGTGGAACAAGGATGAAGTTGAACCGGTCCAATGGATTGATAGAATGAGTGAATGGTAATGCAGTGATGTACTGAGCTTGATATACAATAATTGACAATTGTTGTTTCATAATCAACGAAAGCAATGCCAAACACTCAGTAGACGTTAATGTGCAAATAAAATCTGAAGATTTCATCATGCAACAGTCAAATGATAGAAGAATGTGCAATGTTTGTGCATCGTGATGTTACTGTTGTTGTAGTAGTAGTAGTTGTTGTTGTGTAAATGAATCGTATGCGATTTCAGCGCAATCCAAGAAGGGTCGACAAACCTATCAACGATATCAAACATCCGTTCTCGAGAATAAATTCCAACAGAGCAGTTATGTAAGCAAGAAGCAACGTGAAGAGTTACGCTTACAAACCAATCTCACTGATCGCCAAATCAAAATTTGGTTTCAAAATAGGCGAATGAAAGCGAAAAAAGAGAAGAATCGTACGGACGAGCAAAATGAGCACTCAGCGCTGTTGCCCGCAAATCCTCCGAAAGCCCTGGTCGAGACATCACAAGTTGTGGACGTCGATCGTGAGAAGAAGTCGGCGGCAGCTGCTGCGGCAGCATCCGGATGGTGTATGGCACCGATGCCGACTATGCCTCAGCCATGGACGAACCCTCCACCTCATCCTTCATATGTACCATATCCTATTTGTCCACCAAATATATGATTTTCATTCATTAATATTTATTATTCGTTTAATATGATTCAATTGACATGTTTCTTAATGATTTCATCGTTTGATTATTTTTCATTTTAATGATATTGACAATTTCAATGTTATTGATGCGAAAATGTTTTCTGGGAACTTGTAAAGAGTTATGAGTCTGTTTGATTCCATTCACTCGATCAGC